CGGGCATATCCCCAGTGGGAGATGTGCAGGAGGCAGCTGATCGATGTTTCTCTCTCATCGATGTTTCTCTCTCATCGATGTTTCTAACTCTCTATCTCTCTCCCTTCCTCTCCGTAAAAAATCAATAAATATATATATATATTTAAAAAATGTCCATACTGCCCAAAGCAATCTATAAATTCAACGCACTTCCCATTAAAATACCAATGGCATATTTCACAGACCTCGAACGTACTCTCCAAAAATTCATCTGGAATAAAAAACGACCCCGAATAGCTGCAGCAATCCTGAGAAAGTACAAAGTAGGTGGGATCTCAATACCAGATATCAAGCTGTATTACAAAGCCACTGTTCTCAAAACTGCCTGGTACTGGCACAAGAACAGACATATAGATCAATGGAATAGAATAGAGAGCCCAGAAATCAGCCCCAACCAATATGCTCAATTAATATTTGACAAAGGAGGCAAGAACATACAATGGAGTCAAGATAGTCTCTTCAATAAATGGTGTTGGGAAAATTGGACAGATACATGCAAGAAAATGAAACTAGAACACCAACTTACACCATACACAAAAATAAACTCAAAATGGATAAAGGACTTAAATGTACTATGGGAAACCATAAAAATTCTAGAAGAATCCAAAGGCAACAAAATCTCAGACATATGCCGAAGCAATTTCTTCACCGATACAGCTCCTAGGGCATTAGAAACTAAAGAGAAAATAAACAAACTACATCAAAATAAAAAGCTTCTGCACAGCAAAAGAAACCATCAACAAAACAACAAGAAAACCCACTGGGTGGGAAAACATATTTGCCAATGTCATATCTGATAAGGGTCTAATCTCCAAAATTTATAGGGAACTCATACAACTTAACAAAAGGAAGATAAGCAATCCAATCAAAAAATGGGCAAAGGACCTAAATAGACACCTTTCAAAAGAGGGCATTCAGAAAGCCAAGAGACATATGAAAACATGCTCAAAGTCACTAATCATCCGAGAGATGCAAATCAAAACAACAATGAGGTACCATCTCACACCTGTCAGACTGGCTATCATCAACAAATCAACAAACGACAAGTGCCGGAGAGGATGTGGAGAAAAAGGAACACTTGTGCACTGCTGGTGGGAATGCAGACTGGTGCAGCCACTATGGAAGACAGTATGGAGTTTCCTCAAAAAACTACAAATGGAACTCCCATATGACCCTGTGATCCCACTTATAGGAATATATCCCAGGAAACCAGAAACACCAATCAGAAAGGATATATGCACCCCTATGTTCATAGCAGCACAATTCACCATAGCTAAGATCTGGAAACAGCCTAAGTGCCCATCAGTAGATGAATGGATTAGAAAACTGTGGTACATCTACACGATGGAATACTATGCTGCTGTAAAAAAGACGGAACTCTTACCATTTGCAACAGCATGGATGGAACTGGAGAGCATTATGCTAAGTGAAATAAGCCAGGCAATGAAGGAAAAATACCACATGATCTCACTCATTTCTGGATAATAAAGACCATTATAAACTTATGAACAAAAATAGATACAGAGGCAGAGCTGCCTCGAACAGACTGTCAAACTATAGCAGGAAGGCCAGGGAGGGTGGGAGGGCAGGAGGGGGGTGGGTAAGAGATCAACCAAAGGACTTGTATGCATGCATATAAGCATAACCAATGGACATAAGACACTGGGGGGTAGGGGAGGCCAGGGGATTGTCAAGGGCGGGGGGGGGGGGGCGGGAAAAGGAGACATATGTAATACTCTTTGTAATACTTTAAGCAATAAAAAAAAAATTAAAAAAAAGAAAAATGAAAAAAATGTTAAAGGGACTTATTTAAGAATAAGGACAAAAAAGATCAAAATATGAATAATACAATGTCAATAACTGCATCTATCAACAATTACTTTATTTTTATTTTCTTTTAGTAAGTAGAATGTTTTTAAAATTACTTTAAAAAGGTTTTTTACAGAGATGTGAGTTTACATAACTTGGCAACAACATTTTTAAATGTACAGACTATTTCATACAAAGAACTGTAAGAAAATATTACAAACAACTATATGCCAACAAATTGGATAATCTGGATGAAATGAATAAATTCCTAAAAACATACAATTTCCAAAACTGAATCAGAGAATCTGAATACACAGATTACAGCTAGTGAAATTGAATCATTAATAAAAATAAAAATAAAACTTCCAACGAACCAAAGCTCTTGACTGGCTGACTTTACAGGTGATTTTTATCAAACATTTAAAGAAAAACTAACATCTATCTTTCTCAAAATATTCCAAAAATTTCCAGAGGAGGGAAGACTCTCAAACTCATTTTATGTATTATTTTCAGTATTATCCTAATTCCAAAACCTGATAAAGACACTACAAAAAAAGAAAATAATAGCCCAATGTTCTTGATGAACATAAATGCAAAAATCCTCAACAAATTATTAGCAAACTGATAATAATACATAAGAAAGATCATACACTATGATCAAGTGGGATTTATTCTGGGATGTAAGTTTGGTACAACACAAGTCAATAAATGTGATATCCACAAGTCAATAAATGTGATATACCACATAAAAAGAAAAGTCAAAACCACATGATCATATTAATGGATACAGAAAAGGCATTTGACAAAATTCAGCACCCATTTCTGATAAAAACTCTCATCAATGTGGGAATAGTGGGAACATATCTCTACATGATACAGGCCACATATAACAAACCCACAGCCAACATCATACTCAATGGGCAAAACTACAAGCATTTTCATTAAGATCAGGAACAAGACAGGGATGTCCACTTTCACCACTCCCATTGAACATAGTACTGGCAGTGCTAGCCACCGTGATCAGACAAGAAGAAATAAAAGAGATCCAAACTGGAAAGGAAGAAGTAAAACTGTCATTGTTTAAAGATGACACAATACTGTATATAGATAACCTAAAGATTCCACCAAAAAATTACTGGAACTGATAAATGAATTCAGCAAAATAGCAGGATACACAATAAATATCCAGAATGAGTTGCATTTTTAAAAAAATTAAAAAATTTAAATTCTCACCTGAGGATACATTTCCTTTACTTTTTTCTTTTTCTCCCATCCACTGATTTTTAGAGAGAGGGAGGGAGAGAGAGAGAAACATTGATGTTAAAGAGAAATATAGATGGGCTGCCCCTGTATATAACCTGACTGGAGATTGAACCTGCAACCTAGGCATGTGCACCAATTGGGAATTATACCCACAATCCTTTGGTGTACAGGATGATGCTCCAACCAACTGATATACCCAGCCAGGGCCCAGTTGCATTTTTATAGATCAACTAGAGGCCCAGTGCACAGATTCATGTACTGGTAGGGTCCCTTGGCCTGGCCTGTGGGGATCAGTGGACCTCCAAGCCATCATAGCCCAGCCTTACCCGCCAGCTCGTCGAGCTCCAGCCGGCTGTCCGCATCGATCCCATACACCATGAAGTAGTGCGGGAAGTGCAGGTGGCTCAGGAGGAACCCAAGCCCAGGCTGTGTGCCACCTACTCACGCTCATCCCAGCCCTACTGCACTTGCTGCTGCCACTGTTCTGGCACACAGGGGAGTGTCCGTGGGACAGGCTTGTGCTGCCACAGCTGTGCTCACCAGCCATGAGCCTAGCATCTGGTGCCCATCTGTCAGCTGAGTGGCGCTCCTGCTGTGGGAGCACACTGACCACCAGGGGGTAGCTCCTGCATTGAACATCTGCCCCCTAGTGGTCAGTGCATGTCATAGCTACCGGCCGGTCACCCAGCTGTCCAGTCATCTGGTCACTTAGGCTTTTATATATATAGATAATGAACTATAAGTAGGCAAACTAAGAAAACAATCCCATTCACAAATGCTTCAAAAAGAAGAACAGGAGTTCCAAAATGGTGGTAGAGTAAGTGTAAACTACATAGACACTCTCCCAGGAATTAACTGGAATTACAGCTAAAATACATAAAACTATCCTGAATAATCAACTGGAGTAGCTGGTGAGAACCCTGATAAGCAAGGACAGAAAGTGGAGACCACATAGAGACAGGTCGGAAGGGCAGAGGTGAGAAAGAGCTGGCCAGGTTCCTGGCAGCTGGCGTTCAGGAGGGATATCTCAGCTGTGAGGGATGCCCACTGAGAACTTTGGTGTCTAAATCCCAAACTGGGTCCCTAACCCAGAGAACCAGAACTGAGAAGGTTACTCATAACATCTGGCTGTGAAAAGCAGCAGGGTTGCTGTCAGCCAGGGAGAGATGGTTGGAAATGCAGACACCCTATTAAAGGGCCAACACACAAAATTTCATGTGCATCCACTCACCTTGGGCTCTGGCAGAGGGAGGGCAGAGGGAACTAGAGTTGTGTGAGGAGAGTCCAGGGTTGGGGGCTCAGAAGGCAGCCACCCTGGTTTCCTGTGATGAGTCATTCCCTCATACTGCAGAGGACATCTTTCTCAGGGAGACATTTACCATCCAGGCAGCTTTGCCTGCAGGAAAGCAATTGCCCCACCCTGTTGGAAAAAACTCTCGCCCCGCCCTGGTGAGTCTATACCTTGCTGTGATCTATAGCCTGAGGTGCATTAAGACTCAGAAAATGATAATCAGACTACAGGCAGAGGCAGATCTCTGGAGGCTTTGAGTCTTTGCCTGATCTCTTTCTGAGCCTGGGGCTAGGAAAAAGCAAACCTTGGTATACATCCTGGTCTTCCCAAAGGCACCCAACCCCAGCTGAGGGATCCACAAGCTGTGTATTGATGATAGCTGCAAACAGTACTCAGGGCCAGTCACAAACAGAGTCTGACATTGTCCTGCACCAGAGACTTGGAGTCGTAGCCGATCTACCTAATAGACAGACACAACCCCAAACAGGCAGCCAAATGGGGAGACAAAAGAACAAGCCCCAACTGAAAGAAGAAGAGAATTCTCCAGAAGAAGGGCTAACTGAAATGGAAATAAGAAATTTACCAGAGATATACGGAGCGAGCCCGGGGAAGCGGTCTCAGATCCTGACGGTGCAGCCGCCCGCAGCCTCAGCCAGGGAGTCCCAGCCGCTTTCAATGGAGGAGAAGCCCGGCCAGCCACAGCCTCAGCACCATCACAGCCACCACCACCCGCACCATCACCCCCAGCAGCAGCAGCAGCCACCGCACCACCACCACCATTATTATTTCTACAACCACAGCCACAACCACCACCACCATCACCATCACCAGCAGCCTCATCAATACCTGCAGCATGGCACAGAGGGCAGCCCCAAGGCCCAGCCAAAGCCTCTGAAACATGAGCAGAAACACGCCCTCCAGCAGCACCAGGAAACGCCGAAGAAGAAAACAGGATATGGTGAACTAAATGGTAATACTGGAGAAAGAGAAATACCTTTAAAGAACCTGGGTTCTGATGAAGCTACCAACCCTATTTCCAGGGTCCTCAATGGCAACCAACAAATTGTAGACACTAACCTGAAGCCGACTATAAAGTCCTGCACCTTTGGGAAAGCAGGAATTAAAACTAGGAATTTCATTCAGAAAAACAGTATGGGCAAAAAGAATGGAAAATCATATGAAAGTAAATCTGGAGAGAACCAGTCTGTAGATAAGAGTGATACTATAACAATTCCAAATGGCGTTGTAACAAACAATTCTGGCTATATTACTAATGGTTATATGGGCAAAGGAGCAGATAACGATGGCAGTGGATCTGAGAGCAGATATACCACTCCTAAAAAAAGGAAAGCTAGGCGCAACAGTGCCAAGGGTTGTGAAAACCTTAATTTAGTGCAGGACAAAATAATGCAACAAGAGACTAGTGTCCCAACCTTAAAACAGGGACTTGAAACTTTCAAGCCTGACTACAGTGAACAAAAGGGAAATCGAGTGGATGGTTCTAAGCCCATTTGGAAGTATGAAACTGGGCCTGGAGGAATGAGTCGAGGAAAACCTGCTGTGGGTGATATGCTGTGGAAAAGTTCTGATATTAAACCTGGTGTGAGCAGCAAAAAGTTTGATGATCGGCCTAAAGGAAAGCATGCTTCTGCTGTTGCCTCCAAAGAGGACTCGTGGACCCTATTTAAACCACCCCCAGTTTTTCCAGTGGACAATAGCAGTGCTAAAATAGTTCCTAAAATAAGTTATGCAAGTAAAGTTAAGGAAAACCTCAACAAAACTGTACAGAACTCTTCTGTGTCACCATCTTCATCTTCATCCTCTTCATCATCTGCTGGGGAAAATCAGACCCAATCTTCAAGTCGGTTATCCCAGGTTCCTATGTCAGCGCTGAAATCTGTACTTCTGCCAACTTTTCTAAGGGCCTGTTTTAGCAGGAACTGATGCAAGTGTGTATTCTCCAGGGGGTCAGCCACTGCTAACTACTGCTGCTAATAGTATGACACTCATCTCTGCTGCGATTGATCCAGTTCTCCAGGACAAGAGTCTGACTTCAGCAGCTGTTGAACAAATTACAACTAGCCTTTTTATCTACCCTTCAAATATGCAAACTGTGCTGGTGAGCGCAGCTCAAGTGGATCTACCCTCTCAGACCGATCAGCAAAACCTAGGGGATATCTTCCAGAATCAGTGGGGTTTATCATTTATAAATGAGCCCAGTGCTGTTCCTGAGACTGTTACTGGGAAGACATCAGATCATAAAGTGATGGAGGTGACATTTCAAGGGGAATATCCTGCCACTTTGGTTTCACAGGGTGCTGAAATAATCCCCTCAGGAACTGAGCATCCTGTGTTTCCCAAGGCTTACGAGCTGGAAAAACGGACTAGTCCTCAAGTTCTGGGCAGCATTCTAAAATCTGGGACTACTAATGAGAGTGGAGCCTTATCCTTGGAGCCCAGTCATATAGGTGACCTGCAAAAAGCAGACACCAGTAGTCAAGGTGCTTTAGTGTTTCTCTCAAAGGACTACGAGGAAGAAAATCAAAATCCTCTGGCGTCTCCTACGAACACTTTGTTAGGCTCCGCCAAAGAACAGAGATACCAGAGAGGCCTAGAAAGAATGATAGCTGGGGTTCTTTTGACCTGAGGGCTGCTATTGTATATCACACTAAAGAAATGGAATCTGTTTGGAATTTACAGAAGCAAGATCCCAAAAGGATAATCACTTACAATGAAGCCATGGATAGTCCAGATCAATGAAGGACCAGACTGCCTATTTGTAACCTTTCTGCAGCATTAGAGCCACTGTTCATGGGGGACACAAGGCTTTTATGCTCCTAGATCTTCAACGCAGCAGAGGAACCATAAGTAGAATCACAGGATAATATATACAAATATATATACATATATATATATACATATATATATATAGTTATTTAAAAAAAGGCAACTGAAAGTAATTAGACTTCTTAAGGAATCAAATTTATTTCAAGAGACAACACATGGTTATTTAATCTCCGGTACTGAATAGTTTTTTTTCTTTTTTCTTATGTTAGTTTTTGTTTTTAAGTGTGAATGCAAGTAATTAATGAATACAGACTTGTGGTTCTAAAGTTCCTGCTGTCATCAATTGGGCAACAAATGACCCACTGGAAAAGCAGATCCACTTAAGAGATCTCTGTATCTTATTCTGTGACTAAAGTGATACACTAATCACAGGGAACCCAGAATGAGTCAACATTTTCTCCCACTCCTCCCTTAATCTTTTGGTTATGCTTTGAGCCCTGCAAGAATGCTGGATAAATGCCTTGAAGTTTGCAGGAGTGTATTTTTTTAGCAAGTATGATTTGCATGTCTTGCCAGGAGTTAAGCAGCCTCTGTGGGGTGTTGGGGAAATATTTTCTTTCTTTTATTTTTTTGTTGGGTAGGGTTAGGGGAGGGCATTGAAGTTTTACAGTTCTGGAATAGTTGGTGGTACATAGTTCACTTGGCTTTTAGTTACATATTGGACTTTAACAAGTGAAGAATCCATGAGTGTCATTTAAAGAAAAGTAACATAACAAACAATTGGCTTTATATATTTAATATAAAAAAAATACTCCTGTGCCCATCTTTTAATGTAATTATATAAGTGGGAGCAAAAATATATTCTGCTTTTCAACTGTAGGTGCTCCAAACTTGCTCTCTGCCACTAACACTAAATGTGCTGTTTTCCTTGTTTTTCATCAAACATCTAAAGAGAAACTTCTGTACCTTTTTGTAAATTCTTTTAATTTCTCAGAAATATCCTAAAGGGAAGAAAAAATTCCATGAAAACTAAAACTTTTAATGTTTTTAGCCAGAGAGGAGATAATAAACCCTGCCAATAGGAGATGTGTTTTCATGCAAATTATACTTCTGAGCTTATTAGCTTTCTAATTATATCTTAATAAATATATTTTATTACTAGAGCAAAATGGGTTTTTTTAAGAAATAATGTGAAACTCTGGAAATTTTCTTTTGGGCAGAGAAGAGCATTGACCCTGTCTTATCACATTGCCATCTTGTTGCACTGCAGCTTGTATATAGCATGCTAAAATAAGTTTTTGTGTGTGTGCAGAAACAAAGGGTCCAATTTAAGATTGGGTGATGTTAGTGGCATAAAAACAAGTTCTCTGGCCTGATATAGCATCACATTACACACACAGAAATTAGTATATCCATGTATGGCAGATACAGGTTAAAATAGCAGGGCATTTCTATGGAGAGGTGTAGTCTTCTAATAAAAGTAGACTGGATACCCTGGGTTGTTCAGGGAGAAAGCAACTACTTTTGCTCAACCCTGTTGATTAAGAAATGTCCAGTTTTGAGCGACTGTAGTATGGATGAGTTTTCTTGTTTTGTTGACTATTTGAGGCTTTTAAGTAGTTTTTGAAAGAAGCTATTGGGCTCAACATAGAATAAATATCTTTATAGTCTGGATTTCTGCCCTGCTTAGATTTTAAAAGTATAAGCATGGATTGCCAATTCCACTTGATGTAAACAAAACTTTTTATACATAATATATATATATATATATATATATATATATATATATATATGTGTGTGTGTGTGTGTGTGTATGTGTGTGTGTGTGTGTACATATATACATATATATATATATAATAACTTATTGTATCAGTCCAGGTTCAGAAACTTGTGATAGGCCAGTTTCAGATAGTTTCATTTCACCTGTAAACTGTATCACTTTTACTGATATTGTAATTTTTAAATGTATAATATGTTTACAGATGTGCCCTGCATTTAGTCTGCCTTGTTCCCATTTTGATTTTTGTTGAGTCTCCTGCCTGCTTGCCAAAAGCTAGGATGCTTCAGGCCCATGTACAATTGAAAGCAGAAGCATCCTTGAGCTTTAAAGCATTGAACAAACTGGAAATGCAATGAAGTCAAAAAAAAGAAAAAAGAAAAAAAAAGAAATTTACCAGATATGGAGTTCAGAATAATGATTACAAGGATTGATATTACCACAAGTAAGGCTCAGGACTGTCCACAGTTAATGATTAGCTTGCCCTCACTGATGTTTCACAGGTCTCTTGAGCTTTCTGCCTGGTAAGCTGTGCTCTCCTCCACGGTTGCAGGATTCCAGAGCCGTCTGCTCAGGAGGAGGGTGGACCAAGAGATCCATAGAGAGACTTCCTGGAAGGACTTGGAAGGTGAGCATTGTTTCAGGGAATGGACTGATGGGGTCATGTCTCTTCATAGTACTAACCAGTCTGTAGAGGACAGAGCTATCCAGGAGCATGAACATCCTCAGGAAAACAATCTGCACTCCACAGGGTCCATGAAAGGGAGATCGGCCAGGTCTTAGCAAAGAAGCAGCACTGGGCAGAGGAGTAAGTGTCTTGTGTGGCAAAGGGAGAGTGTGGGGTGGCTGGAAGAAGGGCAGTCAAAGGAGAACGGGGATTGAGTGGTGGTCAAGGATGCAGGCCCTTCTGAGGAGGTGAGACCTGAAGAATGAGAAAGAGGCAGCCAAGGAAGGAGAGCAAGATAAGCAGGTTGGTCAGGAAATCTTCACTTCTGTTCTTTAGAGGATAAAAGAGGAGGCATAGTATGTGAGACCTTGAGCATTCTGGCTGCTGCTGGCCAGACCCACAGTGGGGAATGGGAAACCAGCCAGCTGGTGGGACTCCTGGCTTGATTCCTTAAAGCAAAGGTCATTAGACTTAAATTCCGCAAGCTCCCCCAGGTGCACATGTTAGAACTCAGAAGCCAGCCTACATGGCCTTGGAAGTACTGCCCCTGAAGCCCGTGTGGAAACAATGACAGAGTCATCATTTCTGAAGTGATGCTGTGTGTCAGGTGCTGTGTTCTAAGTTCAGTTGAAGGAAATAGATGAAACTTGTATTAGTCAGCATTTACTGTAGTAACAAATATCCAAACATCGCAAGAGCGTAGAACCACACATATTTTTCCCACGAGCCTTTGGGCAGGCTGTGGGTGTGCTGGGCTCAGCTCAGCCTACAGGTGTTATCATTCAGGGGCCCATGCTGAAGACAGAGCACCACCTGGGGCCTGCAACACGCATGAGAGAGGGCAGAAATGCAAGGGCTCCTGACCCACCACCACACAATCACATCCACTCACATCCATGGCCAAGGCAACATGAGGGGTACATACACTTCCCAGTGAAAATTGGTGGGGATATATAATCCCAATACAGGGAAGGAGCAAGTTGTGGGGAACAACAATCAGTCCACCACACCCCGTACTTTAAGCACTAAGGGGTTTACTGCCTGGAATCGAGTGTCCACAAAGCTGCCAGAAGTGCTAGAGAGGTAAGATCTGGCTGGGTGCTGTGCTTGTGGAGAATGGCATGCCTGACTGCGATGGACACTGAGTGCAATGCACTCATATCCACAGCAAATTCCTTCTGGAAGAAGCTGTAAGGGGCTTGAACTCCATGAGCAGCAGTGACGAGTGGAGTAGCTCTAGTAGGAAAGACTCACCTCTGTCACCTTTCCTGCACAGGTCTGGCCATGCACTGGCTGCAGAAACTCCAGGGGATCTGCATCCGAAGGAGGACGCAGATGGCCTGCCGCACTGTCCACATTCATACCAAGCAATGGGCATCGCTGCCGTGGGGCCACCAGGAAGTCCCCGCCAGGTTTAACTTCGCTAGTGATGTGATGGATTACTGGGCTGGCATGGAGAAGGTAACGGGTGGAGAAGAGACACAGAGATGGACAATTGGGCTGAGTTTAATAATTCATCCATACATTCAATACATAGTGAACACATTACGTGGCAGGTACTATGATGAGCTATGATGCTCATCTCCCATGAAGGCCGCATTTGGTGGGAGCAAGAGAGCATAGGCTTGGCAGAAAGAAGGGCCGAGGAGATTGGTGCAGGTGGGACAATCTGGTAAGTCCCTGGGCAACTGACACAGTTTGCCTATACATTCTGCACGTGCTCTGTTGTGACATCCCAGGGTGAGACAAGGACTAGTGGGCTGGGGTCAGAGAAGAGGCAGATTTGGATTTAATAAGAGAGAATCAGCACTGACCACAGACTGAGTCAGTCTTCCCAGAAAGTTGTGTGTTCCTGTCATCAGGAGTAAGTAAGCAGAATGGTCACCAGGCAGAGATTATTAAAAGGATTCTAGCATCGGCATCAGGGAAAGAGTGATGAGGAAATGCCTCTCTCCCTTCCCACCCTGGAATTCTGGACCTCCACCCCATCCATGGTGGATGCCGCCCTGCCTTCCCCTGAGGTTCTGTGCACCTTTCTGGAGGATGAAAAGACCCTCTTGGCTGGGATCTGGGAAGAAGTGGGCTTACATGAATGGCACTCGGAGGGAGCCACACTGTGATGTTGCCACGGGGTCCTGACATCAGCACCCAATCTTAGTGCAGAGATTGCACACGCTGGCCTCTGGGCTGAGCGTGGCCCGGGGTGCAGGGCACGCTTCACACAAAATTCGGTCAATACTTGAAATTCTAAAACTTTCTGACAAAAATGTATATTTCTGGCTTTTTTCTGAAAGTTATACCTCCTTGGAATAATGAGGAAGGTCTTTATTACCATGACTCAGAATCCTGAGTCTACAAAAGAAGTGATGTAATAAATTTACTACGCAGCCATCAAAACCTGCTCCACTGACAACATTTAAAAAATAAGCAACATTTAAAAAAACACTCTGGCCAGTGTTGCTCAGTGCTTAGATTGTCAACATGCGCCCGAAGGTCACAGGTTCAATTCCCAGGCAAGGGCACATGCCTGGACCAGGCCTGGGATGAAAATCACAGGTTCATCCCAGGCCTGGTCCAGGTGCGCAGGAGGCAACCAATCCCACATCAATGTCTCTCTCTTTCTCTCTCTCTCACTCTCCCTCCCTTTCACTCTCTAAAAATCAATGGAAAAAATATCCTCTGGTAAGGATTAACGGCAACAAAAAAATTAGTGGCAATCAGGGGGAAATATGCAACTCATATCAAAGCAAAAGAATTAATATTCCTAATACAAAAGAGACCCTAGAAATAAAGAATAAAAAGGCACATCCCAATATAAAAGTGGGTGAGGTATAACATGAGACAGTTCACATCTTATTTGTGGTAATATATAATGAATTCATGCTGTTATTTTTTAAAGCATACATGTATAAAATTTCTCAGTTTTAATTTCTAACATAATTTTTTTGTTTTACAAAATATTTTATTTTATTTAGTCCTAATGTTTTTTAAAGTGTATTTTTACTGATTTCAGAGAGGAAGGGAGAGGGAAAGAGAGATAGAAACATCAATGATGAGAGAGAATCACTGATCGGCTGCCTCCTGCATGACCCCTACAATGGGGATCAAGCCTGCAATCCAGGCATGTGCTCTGACTGGGAATCGAACTGTGACCTCCTGGTTCATAGGTCAATGCTCAACCACTGAGCTACTCTGGCCGGGCAGTGCTAATAATTTTTTTGCATTATAACTCCTGAATAATGGTTCTTTTGATTATAATTATGAGCAAAATTTTAATTATAAGGAAATAGGGATACTATTTAAATAATGGCCAGTTTTCCATAAGTATTGTGGTTTAGTCATGAATAATAATGGAAAATGTATTATTCACAGAGAGAAGGCATTCAAATAGTTCTTCATTACCAAATGAATGAAATAAGAATGTATGTTATGATAATATGAGTCGTATTTCCAGTATTTATCAGGCTGCATGGCTTCCCTTGGGCTTTGAGACTTGAAGGTGAGGATGGTGATGGGCATATGCATCTGTGTTAGCAATGTTGCTCATGGTTACAGCCTCTTCAGGTCACCTTCAGGCAAGTTTCTGACTTTAAAATTATAAACACAAACATAGAATGCTAAATCCCAATTACAGCAAAGC